AAATTAAACAACATGAACTTACAAAAATATAAAGTTAATTACCCAACTAGTTTCAACGTACATGTTACAACAGTAGTTGGGTAATTAACTTTGTATTTTTGTAAGTTCATGTTGTTTAATTTGTACTTATAAAGCAGTTAATCCGTTTAACATTAGCAACAACTACTTTTTTATGATTATTTGTGTAGTGTGGAGAATTACTAGGAAATCAGGAGAATGTGGTGACATTTTAGGTATTTTCTTAAGTTTTATGTCTATAAATAAAAGTACCTGTAATAGAGAATTGGTCTCTAATTCTATCTAATTTTAAGGTGTTTATTTTGTATGATGAAGTTATATATCTGTTGCTTTTCTCACTTTTACATGCCTAGCCAGACTGTAATTTAATCTCTTATGTTCTCTGTAAGTATTGACTGTAGTAACATGAAAACATTTGTTTTTACTTTGCACATCAGTGGATTATTATTGTGGGTAGTGTGTGTGAAAACATGTTTAATGTAAGTAAATGTCTCTCTGCATTTATTTCTAACTTAAGTTCTATTTTAAGAAAATGAATCATTGGAAATATGATCTAATTATTTACTTGGAACCCAAATTCTGCTATAACAACAAAAACAGTTTAAGGTTTGCAATATCAGGTTAAATTCAAACTCTACTGTCAAATTTCAAAATGAAAGGTATATAGGTAAGCATACTTATTATTTGATAATAAAGTTTGTAAGTGGTACAATGGGTAGGGAAAGAAGCTCTATTACATACATATAATGATTCAACAACCTCAAGCTATCATCAGGTAAATAAGCTTGTCAAAATGATGTACATTTGTAGTTAAGTTTCTTTCACTACCCATTAAAGCCATCTACAAACTTTATTATCAAAGAATAAGAGGGTTCCTCATCCTCAAAAATGAATTACTGTCTGATATTTTTATCAGTTAGCGTACTGACTATCTACATGTGTTGTGTAACAGGATGTAGTAAGAATATTTAATATCAGATATTTTTATCAGTTAGGGTACTGACTATCTACATGTGTTGCGTAACAGTGTGTAGTAAGAATATTTAATATCAGATAGTTTTATCAGTTAGGGTACTGACTATCTACATGTGTTGTGTAACAGGATGTAGTAAGAATATTTACTATTAGGTAGTTTTATCAGTTAGGGTACTGACTATCTGCATTTGTTGTGTAACAGGATGTAGTAAGAATATTTAATATCAGATAGTTTTATCAGTTAGGGTACTGACTATCTACGTTTGTTGTGTAACAGGATGTAGTAAGAATATTTAATATCAGATAGTTTTATCAGTTAGGGTACTGACTATCTGCATGTGTTGTTTAACAGTGTGTAGTGAAAAGAAATAAAAACATCTAGTAACTGATCAAGAAGAAGCAAAAGAGTGCAAGGGAATTTAATAAAAATGAAAACCTTGCTTTGGTTAGTGATTTTGGAAATTGTATGTCCAGTAGGATTTTCAATCTGTTGTAGCATAATATTTTTTACTCACGTGTTCATATTAAAAGCAGATTTTGTTTTACTTTCTGAAGGATGGAGATGCCCAGTTTGAAACCATCCACTTGACAAAAAAGGACACTTTATCATAAAGACTGGACAAGAGATGGGACTTACCTCGTACACCAGTTTTTTAACTAGAAGAATATGACATTGAGTGCCTGTCTTTTAGCCGTCTCACCATTTATTTCCAGACTGATTGTTGTTCAACATTTGCATTTGTTAAATATATTACAGAAAATTTAAATACCTTACAAAATATAACTTCAAAGATACTTTCTGCTGTTTATGTGTCTAGTCATTATGTTGTGAACTTATTTCTGTTTTGTAATTTTGTGTATCAGTAACATTCCAGTTTTTACGTCTCTATTTAAATCCTATGCTGCTCTGTGAATATTTTAAAATGTTTGTTCATTTTAAGCAATATTTAACTTGATTAATAAGTTTATACCTTTTAATGTAAACCAAACCTCATGAATCAGTTGAAGAACATTTTTACTGTTTTAGTTTACAACTTTTGCGTGATACCATTAATCTTTACTGTTTAAATATTACACTGTGTTTACGGCTCCAACTATATAGTTTTACTGTCTTTATAACTTTGGCCTGATACCATTAATCTTTACTGTTTAAATTTTACACTGTGTTTACAGCTCCAACTATATAGTTTTACTGTCTTTACAACTTTGGCCTGATACCATTAATCTTTACT